GATATCACCTAGGACTAGGGATACCCTATAGATCATCGATAAAATCTTGATAACATAATTTCTTGGTTTCATCATAATTCACTAAGGACTTAGGTATTAGGATGAAGGACCAAAGGTTTTCTCACTAAGGACTTAGGGGAAAACAAAGTAAAGATTCGATAGTCGAAGGTAATGAACTTGTTGAAGAGATAAATAATGAAGGTTAATACAAGGTAAAATCATACACTTACCCTAGCATGTTCCTCATACCTGTTAAAATTCCATTTTATCTTTCTGTTGATTAAGTGACAATTTCAAAACTTTATCCCAAAGTAAAGCTTTTAGTTAACTGAACTACATATTATCCTCAGTAATACAAGCAGTCCTCAAGATCGATATCCAGGTAAAAATTACCTATTATTACTGCAAGGCAAAATGGTACACTTGTTATTTTTCCTATCAACCAACACTAACCCACAATGATTGACGAGCACCTCTCAGTCTTCCTGACATCAAGTCGCCCAGACAACCAGGAAACGACCAGACTGTTGCCCATAACCTACCTCTTTCTCGAAACCAACGGCTAATTACGAGCACACCTTCCCAGTATAACCAAGTTCTGGAAGTTACCTATTTTTGTGGACCCACATACCTAGGCCCAAAATAGGAACCAATGGCCATGCGCTATGGGCGTTATATAAACCCTCACATACATGAGGGACATGTATCGAATATTCACTATTCACCACTAAAACCCTAATACCTTGCTTGCATCTCTTTGCTCCCACACTTACTTGATCATCAAAGTGCCTTGCAAGTACAATCCCTTTTTTTCCTCCTTCATATTCCAGCCTGACAGAAGATCATCATCCGACCACCTTGCAGGTTCTGATCAACCAGTAAGATCAATAACAAAATATAAACAAACAGAATATAAACAAACAAAATATAAACAAATAGAATATAAACAAAAAAATAAACAAATATAGAAACAAAACACCCCAAAAACAGAAAGAATTCCTAGCAAAACCCTAGACCTAAAAGAGGAAAAACTCTAAACCCTAGGATTGTGTCCCCAACAGAGTCTCCAGTTGTCGTAACCGGCAAAAAATAGGAGAGTCACCACCATTAATTTTGTCCTAAGGACGGGGGACTAACGAATAACCCTAATTTTGTCAGAGATTCTAAATTTGTGATTTGGTTAGACGAAGGGAAGATGTTAAGCACCCTTCATCTCCCTTTTTCTCAAGGGGCTCCGCTTTTAGGTCTAAGGGTAGGATGGGAATTTCTACTTTGGAGATATATAATTGCAAAGCTTAGAAAAAAGGGTTTTAGTTTTTTAGTTTGGGGAACTCGCCTTGGTTTTTAAACCGCGTGCCTACGTATCCTCTTATGAGGAATCGAAGTCCCAATTCGTAGTTCGTAAGTGTTTGGTTAGTTTTTTTTATGGATTGTGAAAATGTTTGAAATTAATCCTTGAACCATGCCTGAGTTTGAAAATAGCATAGTCATAGACGTAGTTCACAGTTAATAAGAAATATCTGCATAATCCTTTTTCAAAATAATGTGAAATCGAAATTAAATAAATAAAAAAATGTTAGTATTTGATTGGTTAGCTGTCTTAGATGCATGATAAAAAAATGAGTTTGAATGATGAAAAGTTTGATAAAGTGTAAAAAAATGGTTAGCATTTGAAAATAATTAATAAATAAATATTTTCCTATTATTAAAAATATATTAAATATTTTTAACATTAATCCAATATTTTTTATTAAAATATTTAAACGCAAAAATATTTTTAATGTAAAAAAATGTTGATGATAATAAATAAATAAATAAAATAAAATATAAATCAAAATTAATTAATCAAATTAACCAAAAATAATTAAATAATTAATTTAAAAAATAGGGGGAGTATAATTTAGTTTTCACAGTAATTCTGGGGGTCTGAGTAGCAATGGGCTTGAGCCCATATATTGAGTTAGACCTAATTCGCACGGGGTGCGTTGTTTAATTTGTGTAGTAATTGGGTGGTGCTAGAAGTAGGGATTAAGCCCATGAATTATTGGCGGCCCAGATATGCAGAGGGTATGGATTGAAGCTGTAAAAAAGTAAAAGACTAGGGGTGCGATTAAGGAATAGGCCTAGCCCAAAGTTTGTTTGAGAGTTCGTTTAGGTCCTATATAGGCGAGTGTACGCCGTTATGGTGAGGTTGCGTTACTACCATCATTTTATGGTGATCGTGTGATCCCTTGAGGTTAACTCAGGGGCGTTGATCAAAAGTATTTAGAATGGACGCTCGTGATCAAAATGTTGATTGGGGGTATATGTGGGATAACGTTAAGTAATCCCATCACATGTCCAGTGGATGGCCATGTGTCGTGAATCTAGGGAAGCTAGAGAAATATATTTCATTTTCTTCTCATCTTCATTCACTTTCAACCAACCTTTCTCTCTACCCTTCCATTCTCCCTCGGATGATCTCCTTTCATCATCAACAACCACCACTCGCCGCCATAGGAAATGTCGTGGAAGGGAAATCTCCGGTTGAAGATCAACAAGAGAATTCGTATCTCCGAGCAATATCAACGCGAAAAATGCAGAATACGCAATAACCCAAAAAAACCCTAACCCTAAGTTTCAGATATCATAAATTCAAACAAACATAACCTCACAACAACATTAATCGCAACAAATTGTAAATCTAAGTGGCCTACCTCCTTGCCGTGAATCTCTGTGCTTTTGAGTTCTCTGATTGATTCTGGGATCTCCTTCTTATCTCGTATTCTTCTTCTTTGCAAGTACGAGAAGTTGGGGATTTGCTATGATAATTTAGGGTTTCTATTGTGAAACCCTAGTTCTCTTTGAATGAGCTTTCAGTGAGGTTTAAGGATTTCGCCGCGAGCTTCAAGATTTCTCCCAGGGGTTTCTTTCAATTTCTCCCCCTCAATTCGTTAGTTTAGGGTTCAATTTATAGGTTTTAGAGATTGTTAGATTAGGAAATTTTCTTATTGATTTCTGTAACAATTTTTTAGATTGAAGATTGATTTAGAAATTAGAAATTAGATTTTAGATTTGTTGTAAATTGTTTAGGGTTCTGTAATCTGTGATGTATCAGGTTCGAAATTGCATTTGTGTTCATGAATAAAACGTTTTTTTTGCAATATTGATTTGAATTTGATTTGATTTCCTCTAATTCGGTTGAAAATTATGTTTTTGGGCCTCTGACTGTCTTGAAGAAGAAGCACAATGACGCTGATGTGAATTAGGGTTCCAAGACCCCTCAGTTGACCTTCGATCAACACAACTTAAAATAATAATAATAATAATGATAATATTGATAATAAAAATAATAAAAATAAAATCATAAGTTTATTAAGGTTGACCTAAGTCAACTTTCGTACTGAAAATTGTAAAAATACTATTATTTGTAATAATATTAATAATAATAACAATAATCTATAATAATAAGGAGTTGATTCCGGTCAACAAAAACAAACAAATGAGCCTTCCCTCAAAATTCTGAGACGGGCCACTAGGCTCACTTAACAATTATAAAACACACCCCTCTTTATAGATTTAACAAATTCTAAATGGGCTCTTTAATAAAAAATAAGCAAATCGAATTTAAAAGATAGTAATAATATAAATAACAATAATAAAAAGACTAAAATAAGAGTAATAAAAATTAGAGGTTGACTTTGGTCGACCCTCAATCTAATGGGTCTTCAAAGACATTTTAATGAGCCGTCTAATTTAATTTAGATTTTATGAAACCCACACTCCTTTTATAGTGAAATGATAAACATACACCCCTCTTAAAATTAAAAACTAATGTAAATTTAGTTTAGCAAGAGCCAAAAAATATTAGAGAAATAATTATCAGAAATAATTGATCATTACCAGTAAAGCAAATTTGGAGTATGACAGCTGCCCCTATTTAATCACTCTTAGATTAAAGGGTGCAAAAATATGAAAGTCTCGCACATTCAGATCGAATGGTGATTAAATAATAGAAGACCCCAAAATTTAACTAAAAAATTATTAAATAAAGATGAACCGTAAAATATAGTCAAAAATAAAAAATAAATAGGCAAAAATGACACAGTTAACTCACCCTCCAAACAAAGAGTATAATTGACCACTATCCTTAGCTAAATGGAATTTGCTAAGACTAAATTGAATACTTTTTACCCTTAACTATAACAAGTAAAAGTGATTCTATAGAGGTCTATTATTGAAGTTTCATAGTTTTAATATATTTAATTCATATATAAACAAGATATATAAATTAGTCATTAAATTCAAAAAACAAAACAAAAATTATAATATACATTTTGAGTGGTCAAATTCAAACTTATCTAAATAAAGACTATAAATCAAATTAAAAAACTGAAAAATCATAACAAATATAATGATTTTGAATGTGTTTGAAATAATTTTTTAAAATTGATTTAAACAAAACGGAATATTTTTATTTTGGTCAAATAATCTATTGATGTTAAAAGTAAAAGTGAAATGCCCGAGTTCAAATCTGCACACCTGCATCTCATGTCTCTCTTATCATTTGAGCTAACTTATTAAGAACATATTTACTTTTTTAAATAATATTTATAGATTTAATTTAATTATTTATTTTTATATTTTTTAAATTAGAGCGACAATAAAGATCAATACTAATTGAAATGTTTATTATCAATTAAAAATCTTGAATTCTTGTCAAGAGCAATTTAACGGATTCAAAATTGTAATCATACATAACTCATTAATCATTTGATACAATTCTGAAAATTAAAATTGTAATATGAGAATAAAAATAAATAATAATTAAAATATTTAAATTATAGTGTTTTTATTTTTCATACAAAATCTTAAATCCTTTCATATGTATTACACATAACTCCTTGTCAAAAACAATGTAACAGAATCAAATAAATTGCTATCTTATTACTTAAATAAACAAACAAATTTGAAAGAAAAAAAAAAACTAAAACAAAATAACATATTTCAATTTGAAGTTGTCAATTCCATTGAAATGGTGGAATAATCCATACTGCAGGTGGCATTCGTCTAAACTTACGGTGATAAGGGCAATGTTGACTAAAATTTTCTTCTCTTACATTGTAGATTTTCATATCAAATGGTCCATTAGGATAAGGTGGCGAGTCGTCGGAAAAATCATCTGTATAATAAATTGAATCTTTTTGAAGATAATTAGAGAAATATGAAGCAGACACGGCTAAAGAATCATTATCACCCAAGAATAAGACATTGTCTCTCAAACTATGGATTTTTAACATTTGTATAAGTTGATCAGTATGGATATCCAATTCTAAATTATATACTTCGAATCTTTCCGTACCACTACTAGGCTCGATATTATCTTCATCATCTTCGTCACCAGGAAACCCAATAAATTTTCTTACAAGCCATAAGTCTCCTTGCAATGATTTTACAAGATAAGCTCGATTAGCATAATCCTCCCCCTCTAAAGAAACAACTTTGGGAATTACCCTATCATCTTTTAAATATGATAAATCAAAAGAGACAATGTTATTCCACCGTCCTACAGCATAAACTAGACCTTTGTAAAATATAACATCATTGAAGGTACCATGAACATCATCAATATAAGTCCAATTATTTTGTCCAGCTTTTAGAAAAGCAAGACATTTACGCACACTATAAATGACTACAACTATGTAATCATGTGGCTTAAATGTAGGATTAGAAGATAAAACTACCTTATGCACGTCATACTCATAATATGTTCTTGTTCTATACATCTCGATGATGTAGATGGGTGGCAACTTGATGGATAGTGCAACTTTAAAAGGATTGATGAGTGTTATAAGAGTATCTTGAGAGCAGTAATCAACCTTAGCTAGCCAACCATAACTTGAACCACAAAGCCTCTTGTTAGAAGGTACTGGTAGTTTGAATTGGTAATCTCTTTTGCATGAAATTCCATATAAACTTCTCACCCACCTCTTTTTTGTGGGAATCATAAGCATGGGCAATACATTATTATGTATTTCTCGATTTTGATAATTAAACTTTGCAATAGAATACCAATTCTTGCATACCCGACTGAAATATATGTGATCTAGACATTCTACTAACTTATCAAAAATCAAACTTAAAGGATGTGATTCTAAATTTCCCCAATCCATCTCCATTCACAGTTTACAACTATCACAAAATCAAAGTGTGTTTGATATATTTATATTAAAATATTCCAATTTTCATCATAAAATTAGGAATTCAGTTAGAGAAAATCTGTGCGGTTTCTATGTTTTCGTCAAAATATAATTATGTTTTACTTATAAATTTGAAAACAAATTAAAACACTTATTAATCCGTAACTAACTCCTCAAACTACGGTACTATATATTTTCTATATCAAAAATAACTTATTGCTACAATTCTTTTTATTCAACCATCTTTATTTTTACTTTTTACTTCTCATTATTTCTTATTTAAATTTTTTTTTTGAATTTATCAAAAATTACTCAATAAATTACATATTAACCTGAGTTATTTAATTAACTTTTTTATTTATTTAATTATCATTATTTCTTATTAAAATATACTTTAACTAAAAAGAGATTATAGTCGTTGCGGCAATTTGATATGTTAATAATATTAAGATTTTAATTTGTATTATCTTAAATATTATATTATATAATTTAAGTTATTTTAATTTTAATTTTAATCTATAAGATTATTTCAACTTTTTAGACTTTTTTTTTTTAAAAATAAAGTGATTTTACACAAAAAAATTTATATACTCTATATTCATATATTTCAATAATATTTCAATAATATTATTGACTTAAATGATATGAAATTTAATATTAATAAATTTAAATGATAAAATAAATTTAAAATTAAAATGAATTAATAGTCATATAAAATTAATTTGAAAAACAAATAGTACTTATGTAACATATCTATTTAAAGCAACCTACTATACCAGAAAAACAAATAGCTTAGTGGTATGAGATATTGTCATTATGTAATCTACTTAGGGCCCAAAACAAAGGAAACTTGAAATCGCAATGATGAAATCTATGTTTTTTTACAAGGTCTTTTTTCCAAATCACATCAAATGATAAGGGGCAAAATTTGTATTAACCCTATTAATTATAATAGATAAAATATATATTATTTATATTTTTAAGAAATATCTATATTAATAAAAAATAAATATATATGCTTTAAAATAAATTTTGTTCAGCCCAACATATATATAGCATAGTAAAAGTGACAGAAGATACTTAGACTTTCCCTCGGTTAAAGATCCTAATCGAGAAAAAAGTTATCCTCTAACACATACTTGTAACGCGGTGGAAGAACTGACTTGGTTATTTTGCGTTTGATCGCAATTGTGCGGATAGCAAGAGTCGCCACCGACTTCTTTTATCCAAAAGGAAAGGCTAAAAAGAACATGAAAGACCTTTGAGACGCTTTCTTGTGTTCGGGGGATAAATTATGAAAAGGGAAGGTATTAGCACCCTTTTCATCCGTAGTTATCTACGGACTCTTAGTTGCTTGCTAGATCACTTGCTTTTGTTTGAAAGTGTGCTTTGTGTGGTTTTTGAAAGTATTTTGAAAAGGCGTCATCGTTTAGGCAAACTTTGTAATGATTCTCGTTCGTAAGAATGTATGCAAAGTGTTGGTCTTTTGAAAATGTTTTCAAGTTTGAAAGATGTTTTTAAAAGTGTCGGTGTCTGTTTTGAAAATAACAAGGATGTTTTGGTTTGAAATTGAGCAAGCAACTAGGAACAATCTACCTACTCAAAAGTCTTTCATGCTTATTTCCTCTTTCCTTTAACATTGTTATCTTACCATTGATTTTGTAAGTAACCCTATCTTTGGATGTTAAAGGGACGGGCACGGGACGTTTGTATAGTCATAGAAGTCAACCTATGGGACATTTTAGCAATATCGTAAGGGACTAGATCATTTACCGAAGGCAACATTGAGGGTCATCGAGGGACTACGATCTTTTATCGAGGGTCTTTGCTAAAACGCCCATATTCGAGGGACATGACTATTTTCCGAAAGGCAACAAAGTGGCATTACCCTAAGGGTGCTAGTGTGAAAGTGTGTTTTATTTACATGCATTTAGTCTTGATTTAGGGTTATCTATTTGTTGATTTCATATCTTTCCATACACACCCTAATTACTAGCATTTACATTTGGAATTGATAAATTGCGGAAATATAAAGTCCTACGCTATTACATCATGTAGGGATGGGGGTACAAATTTACCAATGGGGGTTGCAAGAATTTAAATCCTAATTAACTAATACAACCATATTGAAATGTACAATGCAAGAAAAAGAAAAAAAAGGACATGTTTAGAAAATGGTTTTTTGTCTTAATGAATTAAGGAAAAGAAATAAATTAATTGATAAAGAGAAAATATTTTTATGTCTTCTTTTTTTTATATTAATAAAAAAGAGTATTAATATTAAAAATGATAAAAAGGGGAAACAATGAGAGATAGAATTAGCATGCTGCTGAAAGCAAAAACAAAGGGGATCAGAAGTTCTGATGTCGGGCGCGTGTGGTTCAGAAAGAAGCGTCAAAAGTTCTGGATTGATACACTTTGAGGTCCTGCAAGTAACGTTAGGGGGAAAACACAGAAGTTTTGGGTTGCAATGTGCTGAACTTCTGAGTGTTAGAATAGTGAGAAAGTCTTAGATGTTCTGTGTATTAAAATAGTGAAGAGACCTCAGAAGTTCAGTATGTGCTAAGACAGTGAGTGAACATCAGAAGTTCAGTGTGTGTTAACAGTGAGTGAACATCAGAAGTTCAGTGTGTTTAAACAGTGAGGAGAACTCAGAAGTTCTGTGTTATACTAAAACCGTGAGTGAAAATTAGAAGTTTTGTGCTACATTTCAACTCTTTCCTCATATTAATCAGCACATCAGCAATTTATTCAGTTCTTAACAAACACCAAATTAGAAGGATAAAAGCACAACAGTTTATAGAAGTTCTAATCCTAGTTCTGCGTCTAGCCTTAATCAAGAAGTTCTGATCCACCGTTTTTCTACTTATACAATGATATGGAAAACATCAATACTATGATATTTACATATTTAATGATGTTCTGAATGAAAAGATGCAAAGTCAGAAAGACTTACCATGAATCTGGAGCGTGTGCTTGGAAGTTGAACTGCTGCCTTCAGATGTTTTGGAGTCAGTAGGAACAACGGAAGAGAAAATGCTAAATTCTTTGATTCAAAGAAAAGAACAAAGTTTTGGTTTTCTGTTTGGAAATTATGGATTTTTATGAAGGTTTCACAGTTTTCTTTTCTCTCTTTTGACAACTCTCTCTCTCCAAAAGTCATCCCCTTGAACGTGTGATAGAGCAACTTATTTATAGGTGAATTTGTTGTGGTTTTAGGGGGAAAACAAATGGGATTTAAAACTTTTTGGCATACTGTTCCCTTTCTTTTTAAACACAATTTTCGTATGCTAATTTGGTGCAATTATGGGATTTGGGAAAATGCAGGCGTGGACTGAATTAACTGCTGGTTATAGGACTGTGTTGTAGCAGTGCAACAGGTTGTTTAAACGAGGTTTTGGGATCTGGTGATGTTCTGATCGCAGAAGACCAGGAACATAATCTCTATATGTTGAAGAACCAATGTTCTGACTGAAGAACATTTCTTCCCTAAGTTCTGATTGAAGGGTCATATTCTAAACTGTTTTAGCAAATTCTAATTGCGCTTGCATGGGGGCTGCCCCAGAAGTTCTGAAGTACCATATTCTTTTAACACTTAGAAAATTTTCTAAATGTTTTAGAAATTTGATTTTTTTCAAAGTAGTTTCTGACTTCTGATTTTGATGAACTAATTTCATGTCTTGATGAAATATAATTGTTGAAATTTGATTTTTGATCCAAAAGTCAAAGTTTGACTTTTCAGTGTGCTTTTTGACCATTTTGCTCTTGTGAATGGTTTTCTTGGAAAGTTGTAATCTGAGACTTGAAATTTGCCAGAAGCAGACCTGAGGGTCTAGAATGATCCTTTGAGAAAGGAGAGGGAAAATTTTGGGATACAACAGTAGCCCCTGTTCAATCTTCTTAAACCTGAAGAGTTAGATTGGCGAATCTGCCATTCGTGACTCGAAGGTGGAAGATAATTGAACACTAGAGTGCCCAGAAATTTGCACTCGAAGATGTATTGGGAATGGGCTTGTAGATGCCACTTGGAGGGATGCTGGAGAGTTGGAGAGATGGGCTTATAGATGCCATCGAAAGGTGATTGTTGGCAGAAATTAGACTAAATCTAAATTTAACTTCAACTGGGACAAGAATCAGAGTAAACCTTCGGTTGATTTAAAACTGAACCTAGCAGAAGTCTTGAATATTCTTCAACTGGGAAGAATCAGGATAAATCTTTGGAGCGACTTATCTGAACCAAAGAAAGTGTCTTATTTGGAAAGAATCAGGACAAACCGTTGGGAGGTTTAAACTAAACCAAAAGAGGTCTTAGGTATTCTTCAATTTATGATGGGCCTGTGTAGGGCTGCTTCATGATGAGTCTGTGTAAAAATGCATCTGGGAAAGAGAAGGAACCTGTGTAGGGTTGTTTCATGATGAGTCAGTGTAAAAATTCATCTGGAAATGTATGGGAAGGAACCTGGGTAGGATTTCTTTATGATGAGTCCGTGTAAAACTTTATCTTGGAAAGAGAAGGAACCTGTGTAGGGTTGCTTGATGATGAGTCCGCGTTAAACTTCATCTGAAATTTTTTGAGAAGGAACCTGGGTAGGGTTGCTTCATGATGAGTCCGTGTTAAACTTCATCTAGAATTTTCTGAGAAGGAACCTGGGTAGGGTTGCTTTATGATGAGTGTGTAAAACTTCATCTTGGAAAGAGAAGGTGTTAGAACATAGTTTGATTCTACAACCCTTGATTAAAGTTTTGATGATAACAAAATACAAAGAATAATATTATTTCTAAGGTATATACAAAGAACAATTATGCTCCTTAAAATTATGCTTTGTATATGCAGAAGTTCTGATGGAATCAGCATCAGAATGGAATCAGCATCAGAAGATCAGCAACCTAAGGTACTCGCTAAAACACTGAAGTTTGATGACTAGAATCTGCGCCTAAACAAATACACTCTGACTCTGATCAAAGACATCTTTACCAAG